ACGACGACTACGACGACGACGACTACGACGACTACGACGACGACGACGACTACTACGACTAGTTGTTCAGACTTCTCGACCAACAGCGAAAAGGCTGCATGCACATCTAGCCTTTGTAGACACGCGAGTGTATCCATACCGTAGTGAGTATGTGTGTATTTTATTACAGGTTAATGTTTGGTCTGTCAGGGGAAGTTCTGGTAAGTCCATCTCGTTTTAATTCATATCCTGACCGCTAAGCCCGAAGCACTAACACCTGCTGTTCAAGGATATTTGAGGTACCGAGTCTTGCTTTGTCTCTGTTTCTCAGACCTGCAACTAGCCGGACTAGCGACAATCCTGTGCCTGCAGGTGGCGATTGTAGTAGGTCAACGCAAGAGTACAACGAATCGGTGAAACTTCTGCTTCGGGGAGATCTATGCCAAGCTCTTCGTCCACAAACCCTAAGCTCCAAACCCAAAGCTCCAAGGGGAATTCGTGGGTCTGAGCCGTCGAGCTGCCAGGTTTGGCGCTGCAAGCCTTCGCCAGACCGGCACCGTAAAGAAGCTTGTCGAAGGCTGGGCTAGAGTTCAAAAGTGTTTAGGGTTTAGGGTTTTGTTTTTTTTAAGCTTTAGGCTGTCTCTATGTGCTGAGGTTTTTGGTTTCTTGGTTCCCAGAAGCCGCAAGCGCGTTCCTTTGAGCTTGGGAGTGGAGCTCTCCCGGTTTGGGTGCGGCCCGGTTGCAGGATTGAAGCAGGCACATGGGGGTGCCCAGGGTGCAGAACCTGCTGGCTTGAAGGATCTAGGTTTAAGAGGCCGAGGGGTGAGATGTGAAGAAGAATGTTGATTAGTTTAGGTTTCGGCACTTGATATTGCAATAGTAGTCATGACCATGCAAGCATTGCTTCACTTGACATTTCTACTGCTGCTCATAGTCGTTAGCGCAGCGCAAGCAATGATGAGCAGAATAGCAATGATAATCTCGGTCCTTAACAACAGCAACAATTGCAACCCTAAGCCCTAAACCCTAAACCCTAAACCCTAAGACAATTTGTAGCACCAGTAGCCACCCAGGATCAGCTCCAAAAACGGCAGAAATAGAAAGACCTGATTAGCCAAGAGTGAGATGACTATGTTGATGCATAGAATGGCAGTATGGATGGCTCGGCTAGCACATGCTTCTTGCTGTTGTTATAATAGTGAGTAGTACTGCTGTAACCCTAAACCCTAACCCTAAACCCTAAACCCTAAACCCAAAGGACCTACCCTAACCCTACGATTCTTATAGTTTTTGTTTGAGTTTGAATCCTGCAAGGCAAAGGCTTCGGCTTCGTCGAGGCCGATGAATATGCCCGGCCCCTGTCTGTAGAACCAACCGGAACCATTGTGGTCACGGCGCCGGGGACTTTTGGGTTTAGGGTTTAGTGTTTAGGGTCCAGTTGTGTAGCCGGAGTCATCACGAAATCAAGACATCAAACTGGTAGTCAGACGTATTGTCGTCACACCCTCCTCACCCATTCCTACACCGCCGTGCATATGTTCGATTTGGCCCTGTTTCGTAGTCGGTCTGGCTGATTCTGCGGCATGACCGTAAGTAGAACGAGCAGGAATCTCCGAGCAGACCTTGGGCTCTTTGCGTACATCGGCAAGCCCCAAATGGCTCCAGTAGGGAAGCTCCTTCCCACTGGGGAAACCCCTCAGCCGGTGTCATCGACTCACAGCACGCTGAAACCCTGAAGCCGAGACTCTGAAAAGGCTCTCCCAAGCAAGACAGCACTTCTGTGGACGAAGCAGAGGCATGCGCCTACAAACCGAGGTGGCGTGCTTCGGGGACATCTTCTTACATTTCTCGGACATGAGGCAAGGAAATCGGATCAGCTGTAATGTCCGAGTGACAGCTTGTGGATGATCGGCCGGGAGCCATTGCCTCTTAGATCAGCGTAACATTTGCAGGAACAGAGGGAGCCCAGAAACCGAAATCCCCCGGACCAACCGCTTCGTCTGCGGAGTGCCACACCTCAGGACCCCGCGAAGACACGAAAACTGTAGGGGTTCGCGGTTTAGGGCAGAAGAACATCTCCAATGCCCACAAGCCCAAGCCCCTTGTTCAACCGTTTACCTTAAACCTTTCGTCCTATACCCTATAAACCCAAACCCTAGACCGTCAAGCCCGATTTCCTGAGCCCTTCTGTAGGCACGGGAGCAGTGCGGCCGGAGCTCTACAAGTGGGTTCGCGTCGGCACCTCAGGTGAAGCTCGGAGGTGTTTGTTTGGGGACTCTGTGACGTGGATATATTTTGCACGTGCATGCAGGGTGTAGTTTCTACAGTGCAGTTGTCTGGGCTCTGGAGCGGTTTGAGCAGCAATGAGTTCAGTGATAGCTCTCTCGTCATGTTGTCATCATAGTTCGAAGCGGTTGTGCTGATGTTGCTCAAGCTTCGGCTTCTAGAGCTGTGCAAGACTGAAGCTCCACTCAAAGGTACAGTAGCTTGGTTTCCACTGAGTCTCTAGAGACGGGGAAAGAACATATGAGTTCAAGCAAGGCACGTCGTAGCTCGACCCAGGCGTGAGCTTCCAGACCGAGATCGATTTCTTGTCAGGCGCTGTTTGGCAGGGCCTTGGGCGTGCCAGCTTCAAGTAAGGCTCTGGGTTTTAGTGATGCCGGTCCTGGGCACCGAAATGCCCTTCAGGCTAGGTTCCCCAGTAGCTCTCTTTTTTTTTTTTATGGGTTCCTGCAAAACATCTTAAAACCACATAGTGTGCAAAAGGGTACCCTTGGAAATTCAGGGGCTACTGGGGAACCTAGCAGGGTTTTCCAGCAGACCTCGGCCGAGGTATGCTGTGGAGGGTAGTCTGATCGCACCACCCCACAAGTGCTACAGTGCAAAGCCTCGTCCGTTTGACACTCCCAGCGCAAACTAACAACTTTGAGTCTGCACCCCGGAGATATATCAAACCCTAAACCCTAAGCCCAAGCCCCTAAACCCTAAACCCTAATCCATAAACCCTTAAACCCTAATCCCTA